AATCCTTCGTTACTGTACTTAAGTACAGTAACGAAGGATTTGTACGTTGTTACTTGACATCTCTGCTCTACAGTTAGAATAATTAGTCAATTTAATCTTTGTTGATATGCCAAAAGAGTAAAAGTGACTACTATTATGTTCCAGTGACTTTAGTTTCCGGGATATGATTCAGGCTAAATCATTACATTAATCACAAGCACAGTCATTGGATCTTACATCAGGACTAATTCACAGAGTGTGGGAGGCCCTGCCTGCGTCAGGGTCTACGCATGATCCCGTGGGAAATGACGTCAGACGCTGGTCTCCAGGCTGGGAGATCCCTAATTGAAAACATAACCGTAGCTTTACCCAATATAGGAAAAAATAAATAAATCTGCACACTCCATAACATTGTTGTTAAATTCACGTACGTTTTTGATACAAAAAAATGCGATAGATGAGTTAAACATCATCATTATTATTATTTATTTATTTTTTATCTTTTCCCCCTTGTTACTGGATTCTCTCTGTCCGCTTTTCTCCCTCTGAATCTTTACTGAATCAAACACTTTACTAAGTTAAGCTGTGCTTTATTATTTTCGATTGTCGTTTTTTTTTTGTCTTTATATATCTTGGATATAGGTTATTATCTTAATACTGCCGTAATTTTCAATCGCATTTGTAGATAAAAAAATAAAAAATTGTTCGTTGTAATATTATTTTCTAATGCGTGTGGTCGTGTAAACGTAGAGATATCATTTTAACCAACCAAAATAAAGTATGAAGACCGGTCACTATAGCAACGATGTTTTGTTGTCAGTAGCAACCAAAATAACGCCCGGAGAGTGTCCGTTTTAACTAGCTTGTATGCTGGTTTGGTTCATTTTATTTAATATTTTTTTTTATAAAGTCCAGGTTCCGCTGTGCGCAGCAGTGGATCAATGGATTCTTGTTCTCTCTACTATTCTCTGGACCTCGTTGCCAGCAGCGGGCATGTTTTAACTGTTGAGCAGAGAATCGCTCTTCAAACGTCCCTGTTGATCCTGAAGAAAAAGTACAAGTTCCAACGGGCCATGTTATGGGGCAAAATATTGGGAATACAGGAGAACTACTTCATAGCTCAAGGGAGAGGTGAATCTGAAATAAAGGATCGGAAATATCTGTACAGGTAGGAACACAAAGTTCCCCTAATTATTTTAACTTTTCCCTGGTTTTCATTATTTGTTGTTTTTGATCTGTCTCTTTAAGCCTCGACTGCATGGAATGGTTCCTTCTTCCCTTGGTCACTGAGTCTATGATTGAAGAAGTGTCCAAAGCGGTCAGGGGTCATTTCATAGGAGAACCCTCTTTTGTGTATGAACAGATCCACAGCCATGGAGGTGGAGAAGAGGCTGCAGAGGGGGAGGAGGTGGTAGGTTTGTCTCATGTTTCAATGCCCTAGGAGTCATTTAGATGGGAAAGTTTGAGCTTTTTTTAATTTACAGAATATAAACTATTTGATAATTTCTCATTCAAAATAAGAAATACAGCAAATCTGAACTTGAATGTCCTACACCAGAGGCGTAGCCAGAAGATTTTTATCAGGGTGGCCAGGCAATAACCAATGTACACTGACGGTGGCCGGAAGTGGATTGGCACCAGAACCTCACGGTCAATCTACACAGTTCCAACAGGAAAATTAACGAGCAAAACATCCATATTTTCTAAATAAAGACAAACTATATTTTCCCACAGACTTTACTAACAAATAGACTAATATATTTAAACATCTGTAATTTCTAGATAAAAGGTATAGCGGATAAAATTCTTTCAGTTTTGAGTTCTGGGGCGTAAATCTCTTCCATTGTCTTTACTTACCTACTTGTATCAATAAACATTCTGCATAAAATTGATATTTACAAGCACTTATATCTACATAAATTGATTATTTGATAAGTTTTTATTAAAACTGTTATTTATCTTTGATTTCACTGAAGACTCCTAGATGACTTGCAGACACATAATTTTCTTTTTACCCCATAAAACACAAAATCTAGTTCTGAAAAGAGAATGAATTCTGTACTTATCATCTTTGATGTTAGTATATTGATGTGCATAATTAACCACAAAAAATTAAAATGTTTTCACTATTCCACTTGAGATTATTACTGCTGCCACCATCTGTATTAGAGGGAAAAAATGCTAGGGGTGGCCATGGCCACCTCTGGCCCCCAATCTAGCTCTTTCCCTGTCCTACACTGGGCAGATATTCATTCAATAATTTAAACCAAATGCTTTGATGCCCTTACAAATACTAACAGGTTTTGGCTCTCTAAACGACCAAAGTTAGATATTTTCTTGCATTGTCTGTTAGCTTTTCCTTTCTCGTTTTAAAACAAGTCTGAGTGGTTTTCTAATTGTGAAATAAAATAGTTGCATTCCTCCATGTTGGTTCCAGATCAGGGTGAATGAGGAGAAGAGGCTGGCAGTGACTGTTCATCTCATTGATGAAGACGTGTCTGTGGTACCCAGAGGCGCCTTCATCAGAAACCCACTTGGTCATGTCCAGATAAACCGCAGCTTTGAAGGTAAATGTGCTGTAAATTGTGGTACAGATTCCTCCGTCTTATTCATCATCATGTAAATGACATCCTCTGTTTTAGAGCCTTTGAGTCATAACTGTTTGAAGTGGGTATACATATTTCAAGGATACATCATCTTTGCAATATCTAGGCAGGTTTGTGTATAGAGCTACATCCTTGTTTTGTTTTAGTTACATTTAAAAGTTTTGTGTTTATTCTTAGGTCTTTCTGAATCAGAAGCGAGGAGGCTTGAGAATTATCTACACTTCCATGAACGGAAGACAGGAAACAAGAAATCCATCACAGATATGGGGGAATGGAGTCCAGCCATCGATTTTCTGGATGCCCTCAGTGATGACATTCCTAAAGGTAAAGATGCATTTCTCTTACCACAGATTATTGTATATCAGAGGGGAAAAAAAAAAACACAGGAGTTGTTGCAATTACTTTTTCACCCTTTAAAAGAGTACCTAGGTCAGATCTGACAAAAATATACTGTAATCTGACTTGCTGAGGCTAACATTCATATATGCCTTTTGGATTTTGTTTCTATTCTATAACATTTGGAACTCTGATTTCAATCCCTATTATTGGGATTATTAATAATTTGCTAAGAAATTCAGCATATAGTCGTGAAGTGATAGTAGAAATTGATACCTGGTATAAAACTTTTTAAATAACGTTTTAAAAGTTATTACAAGTTATTACATTGTCTATGGTTTCTGTTTTAACCCATTGTTCCACCTGAACTGTGGATTTTTGTAGCTCCTCAAGTCACTATTGGCTTTATAGTCCTCTATGATGTTTGCTCCTATTCCCCAGCCTGCCTGGTCCAGGTTGATGACCATATATTTTTGATTTTTTAAGTTGCGCCATGGTCTTTCTTAGGATATATATATATTTTTTCCACCTAACCCTGCTTTAAACTTCTTCAAAATTTAATCCATGATGTGTTGCAGAAGCTCTCTGATCTTTATAAACTGACTTCTGAAAGTAAATGGTTGCATTAAAGTTTGATTAGGGGCATCTGAGTCAAGGAGTAATACAAGTACATTATATTCTTCTCATTTCTATGCAAAAAAATATAAAGAACTAAATTTCTGCTTAAAATCAGACTACATTGTGTTGTTCTATCAGATACATTCCTAATGTAATACAATTTTGCAAGACAAAACTTATCCAGGATATCAGTGTGGCTTTGCAGATTTTTTGTTAATTATTACTAGTAAGATTGTTCCATTCAGGGATTTAACAGCTGAGTTTCACTCCAAGCTTTTGCAGCTTTTTAGAGACTTTCTAGAATTATTTTACGATTCTTTGTTTTGCAAATTTGTATTCAATAGTCAAATCTAAATTCTTAAGACCTCTATTCTTGAATTCACTCTGTAAAAGCCTGAAATAAACCAGAAATATTACTCTGAGTATGAAAACTGTAGCTGTAAAGAGATGGATAGCTGCATTTAATAGGATCAGTTTAATGCTGACAGCACATTCTGGCCCTCAGAAAGTTCCATGTAATGGAAAGAGCGGCTAAATCCAGAAGGCAAATATTAAACCGCAAATACTGTACAGGCAATCATGCGATTTTGGTTATGCAGAGTCATGTCGACATGACAGTAAGGTTTGTCGCTGGATCCCATCCAGCCCAGAGCGACCATGCATAGCGAAGCCATGGGTGTGAAATATGTGGATGTCAGACGACTTGAAGAAATGTTTAGCACCCGCAAGTAAACATATAGCAGATGTTCGCTTCAAGAGAGCTTCCACATGTGCATTTGTTTATTCGAGCAGCGCATCACTACAGCAGACAGCACGCAGCTGCTTCAGTGCAAATAAAACAGACTGAGAAAGATGGAGAGGGCATATTTGGAAACGATCCCAAAATCGCTTAGGGGGGGAGAGAGAGATCTGTTCCAACAACCTCTGCTCCCTTGCCTTTCACATCTTCATTTACTATGAATCTCACAAAATGAAGAAACCTAAATTGCAATTTTACTTGGAGTTGCATCATGTTTGCAGACAAGTCCAAAAGCAACAGTTGAAAAAAGCTGGCTCATTGATCAGAATCGCCTCCCTTTGTGTTATCAAGTGTTTTCATAATAGCCAATCCCGTTCTCGTTCAACTCCCATGTCCTTCGTGTTTATGGTCCCACCCAAGCACGCAGAGAAACAGGCTAGACGGTAAACATCAAAAAGCACAAAGGGATGATTTATTGGTGTATCCCTTGGCAGTTTCTTGCATGTGAACAAGATGGTTTTCCCAAAGATTACTCCAGGCTCTACTTCAATGCAGAGAGCAGGAGGTAGCCACTTCCTGTGATTTCATGCCAACTGTTTACAGGTCTGCTCTGTTTGCGTTTAGGATCGTGGAGTCTTCAGTTTGAGTGTGCCAGCAGAGTGTGTGTTCTGCGCAGCCTCCTGTGGCCTGGACTCACTTTCTACCATGTGCCAATGACGCCACAGCATGGATACATCTACATTGGCTTCGGAATGAAAAACATTGACCTTCCTTTCAAGCTGTAAATGAAAGAATGATTTCCTATTGCTGCATTTCTATTTAAACCAACCTTTTCATTTTCTTGTCTTAAGAGTAACTATAATCAGTTAACAATGAGCTCTGTTCCCTTAAAAAAAAAAAAAAAAGCTATTGCTTCACAGTAAACACGAGGGGAGAGAGAGTAAACATTGACATTTTATTTAAACATCTGTTTTGTGTCAAGTTTGCACAGTCAACATACCACCTACTTTGAAAGTGTAACACGGACCCCAGTGGTTGGTGACATGAAGTTGTTGTAGAATGTTTTGATAGTTAGATAAGATGGTTCAGGGTGGGGCTGGATATGACTCAATAAAGGTCTGATGCAGATGAATAAACAAAAGTCAGTCTTCAGTCTTCTGCCACACCTTTATGACATAAATCCAGGGTAATATGAAGATCCATCCTCCAGCTGTTGTATGGACATGTCCTTCAGTGCTTTATATAAAGCGGCTTCACACCGTACCGCACGTTGTTCCTCAGTGCCGGGTGACCAACATCCATGCGCTTCTTGCACCACTTCAGTCCCTTTTTATAGATGGGTTTCACCGAGGAAATGGACCAGCGAGTCAAGTATCTGTAAACCAAACACAGATGTGAAATAATGTTTTATAGCATTAAACCCACTCAAAGGCAAAGAGGGGAAATAATGGAGGTAAAACAAAAGATGTAGCAGCAGAGCAGCACCTGTTCAATTGGGGCTTGGTCCTCTTTGGGACATGACCCTCTGGAAGTCTGGGTCTGTGGTCAGGGAGCAGACCTTCAACACAGACAATAAAGAAGATGTATTACTTCCAGCAATGAGAAACATAAATAGTCTCAGAACTTAAGATTTCCTTTTAAGTGAGCATTTGGAACCAGGAACAGCCCACAGATGTTAAAGATATTGAGACATACACAGATGCAGTACTCTTAGGCACAACTGGCCTTTTTTTTTTAAATCTTTGAAAGTGATCAGACAGGAAATGGGAATAAGAGTGGGGAAAAGACATGTAGTGAAGGTCAACGGTCCAAAACTACATCCCCTGACAGCCACGTTGAGGACTACCACCATACATGGGTCACACGGTTTACCCTGCCATCGTAGCACCCTAGAGGCACACTGATACAGTATATTACAGTCACTATGTTTACATAATAATATGCGATTGGGGAAAACAGCTGATCGAACTCAAAACGTATTATTATATTGTGATCAGATTTAACAGAACTGGAATGAAATTGTAATCCAAATGAAGGCTGGTTTAAACTGATTGACAATCTGAACAGCGATGTAAACACTCATTAGGATCAAGTTATTCTTAATGAGGAATGCTAACCCGAATCAATAAAGTTTTCCTTTAAGTGGCTAGCTAATATCCGAATATTCAGATCAGCATCCTATTCCGATTGATTAGGTCCATGTAAATCTTACATACCAATTTTTTTCGTTTATCCGATTGCATTTTAATCCAAATGAGAAATTTTGTGCTTATAAACGTAGTTAGCGTTTGTGCTATAATAAGAACAAGGAAGCTGATACATTTAACTGAAATGTGTTTCTATTTTTTTTTTAATTCATTTTATAAAGAAACTACAAAAAACAAGGTCATCATAAAACACAAAGAAATTCAACACAACTTTAAAGTCGTAGGAAAGCGACTGTTCCAAACGTTGCAGTTCCGAATTCTCCCGAGTGGTGCACGACTTTACACGAGTGAATAAAGTGAATTTGATTTGTCTAGTTCAAGAGGGCGGGATTGTTGTGGTGGAAGGTTCGCAAGCAAGTTTGATTGTGGGCGGTTTTACGGAAGCAATCTTGCTAACCAGTCAGCAGCTTAGAGTTAGCAGGTTCCCAATGGGAAATTCCATTGGGACCAAGTAGCACTAAATTGGTGACTTAGAAACGACACTGTCAAGGAACGCTATGGACAGCTGAAACATGCAAGAGGAGGAGAGTTTTGTGTCGGAGGTCGTGGATGAGTCTCCTCCGCTCCTTTCAATGGAGCGCTCACAGAGCTCGGAGTATTAAGTTAAAAGTTCTCTTTTCTGTTGCTGATGTTCAATAAAAGTACGTTTTAAGATCATTTGAGGTGTGAATATACTTTTAGGCATCACTATATGGCCCAGCGGCAAGGTCTAATTCTAGCCTGTCTGCAGCAGCCCTCTCTCAGCATAGCCATATGTGAAGGACCGCTGGCTATGATGGAGAGTTTTTTGTTTTATTTGGCAAAATGTTCATTTGATTTGTGTTTATCTGACTGTGCTAATTATTATTACCACACTAAAGGAAAAAAGTCATAATTTATTATTATCAAGAGGATATTAATAACAGGATGAGAAGCAGCTCCAGACGAGCCGAGCGTGTGGTGACATCACGAGTACGCTTCTTCTGTTTCTTCTGTCAATATGCTCTATCCAGAACATCTAAAGTGGAAATGTTTCGGTTTCACCTGGTTGAATTTTGTAGAAAGTCTTCCTTATTAACCCATTTGATATAATTTATCAATCAAATAATCAAAAAGATAATCAACAGATTATTTGATGTGCAAAACAATCATAGTTGGTTGCAGCTCTAATTGGAACAGAAGCGTACTCGTGAGATAAACAACATTGAAAGCTAGTCTGGAGCTTAATTTCACCTCCTGTTATTAATAGTCCTAGATAATAATAAATTCTTAATTTTTTCATCTAGTGGAAGAATTTTTTTTAAACACAGATAAACATAAATGAAATGAACGTTTTGCCAAAAAAAAAAAAGAATGCCATCAGATCCATTGGTACTTCCCACCAGCTATGCGGAGAGGGAGCTCCTGCAGACGGACTAACCTTAGGCCTGGCTGCAGTTAGTGTTTGTTCTCCTCTGATTGCCGCAGTCCTCTCAACATCTGAACTTTTTAAATCAGTAAATGGGCCATATAGTGAAGCTTAAAACGTATGATATTCTCGCCTCAAATGTTGTTAAAACGTACTTTTGTACAACAGCAGCAGCAGAAAAGGGAACTTTTAAGTGGTTACGATTGATTATTGATGCTGGTGGTTTCTGCGGCTCTAGAACCGAATCTTGAACCAGAAACTTAATTTTAAATGCTTAGGTGATTTTTAAACATTCAAATTTAGATGGGTGATTAATAAAACATGTTTCTGTGGTGTGAAAAAAACTGAGAAGACATGTATTCCTACTTTAAACAGTCTTTAAGAAACATGAATATAACAGTGTTTCAACTGCAACTTCTCTGATTCATTACTGTTGAAATAAATGAGCATTTATTTTATCACATATGTTCATGTATATTATGATTCATGTTTTTGCAACTAAAAAAAACAACAGTGTGATGATAAAACAGAGCCGGACTGCTCATAATAAAGAGAGGAAAAGAGTCTTGAAAGTCATTATGGAATATTGCTTGCTTATGAAAAAATATAGGATATCTGTTAAGGACAATCCAATGTGCTGGATTTCAATAAGCTGTGATTAAAAACAGTCCTAATGTTCTTTCCAGCAGAGCTGATCAGTCTTAATATGCACACACAGCAAGATTATCTCCCCTGATAATCAGGGCCCCTCTCTTCTGAGCGGTCCTGATAATTGGGGCCTCTCAAGGCAGAAAATTAGCATGATTATCTTGCCCCGTAAATGCTACATTAAAGAACATGTAATTTGTTCCATACTGTGTCTGTATGCTGTGTGTGTGTTTTGTCTTTTATTGGTTGGGCTGTACCGAAACTGAAATTTCACCCTACTGGAATGCCACAACAGGCTGGGTGACAAAGAAATCTTGAATCTTAAATACGGTAAAAGAAATCTTCAATCTCCCACATTTTCACTTTACAGGTTCTTAATTAAGACATTTTCTTGTTATTGCTTTCTTACTACCAGCTCATTGTATCCATATGTAAAGTTAAAATATTAACTTTGAAGTAAAATTATTTTCCCAGATAATGGATCCGACAGTAGCCATACTTTTTTTATGGATAAAGTTCAGTTGGAAGTCAGACTTGAATCTGAGATTTATACCACAGCAGAGTTTAGCACATTAAAGTAACAACAAAACCCCATTGAGAAACCGACCCAGATGACCCACATTGCAAATGGGTGGACCTGTTCATCCGCTAATAAATAAATAAATAAACAAGGCTTTGTTGGGCTACTGTATAAAACCTGAAACTATCGCTATTTCTGATATTTTGAATTGAAAAAGCTTAAGGATGAGAAGCGAAACATCTTCAAACTTGGAAACAAAGTCCAGTGGATTGTTTTTTATTTTATTTTTTGGAATGAAATTTAAATTAGCTACTTCTTGAACTGGATTAAAATCTAAAATAAGAAAAGTTGATATATTTCTTCTTATTTTTGTGTCCATTAATCTCCAAATAGAGGTTGTACCTTCATGTTTTTTTTTTTTTTTTATATATGAAATATTCCCAGGATTAGGTTTTCATTTGTTTCACATTTTTATATAACTAAAGTAATCATCATCCTTCTTTGCAAATATTAAAATACATTTAATAATAATGAATATTTGTCTTTTACAATAGTGACATTAAAAATGAAATACTATAATCCAAAATCCAAAGTCAGTGTAACGGTTTACTTGAAAGGGCAACCCTATTTAAGTTTTAATGTATTATCCATCAAATATGTTCCTTTTCCCTTTGGTCTTATTTTTAAAGGAACATTTTCATCTTCAAATTCATTCAGATCTAATTAACGTTGCTGGGTGTTTCCAGGCTTATTATACGTTTTTTTCTTTTAAAATGTTACACTAATTAGAAACGGACACTTGTTTGCTCTACTTGTAATAATCTGTATAGAAACCACTAATGAGTTCAAAAAGTTTCCAGTAAATTGGATGACTTTTGTGGGCCTTTTTTTTTTTTAATTCAGCCAAACTCTCACCAGCTCTGTGTGCCATCTGCACACAGATGGCAATCTTGCGATGCTCCTCTGGACAAAGACCAGTTATTCGCTTTGGCAGCATCCCTCCATCTGACCTGATGAACTGGCTGAGCAAAAGAACGTCCTGGAGAAAGTAGAAATCAATATACACCGAGATAAATTTAAAAAGTTTTACACCAAGGATGATTTGATATATTATTTGGGGAGAATAGATTTTTGATTGCATTTACAGTGTAGCTGTACTTGTGCTGCAGGTTCCATCTGTAGATAGGACACTTGGCTGTTGGATTTGGAGGCTGTGGTCCTGCAGGCATATCTATAATCTCTCCCTCAATCTAGCAACAACAAAAGGGAACAAACATCCTCTGTGATAATCAATGTGTACAATCCAGAAGGTATTCACTGCACTTCACTTCCTTCATGTTACAGCCTTAATCCAAATGGTATTAAAATCATCTCCTTTCTCAACATTCTGCATACAATACGCCATTATGACAATACCTTCCTCATCTCTCCAGAATGATGAAGGAGCAATGATGTAGCTCTAACAGAATGACAACCTTTATCATTAGGGCCCTTCTTCTCTAATCCTTTACTTTAGATGGATGACTGTAGGAAAAGTCCCAGTGGTTCCAAACCTTTTCAATGTACCAATTATGGGGGCCACTGTTCTCCTTGGGACCTTCAGAGCAGGAGACATTTTCCTGTATCCTTCCCAAGATTTTTGCCTCAACACAATCTTGTCTGGAAGTGCACGAACTTCACAGCAAATACTAGAAATACTTACATACACGTAATTTCTTCACATTTCTTTCTTTTTGTAATAAATTTAAAACAATCGGTTAAAAAAAGTGCACCTTTTCCCCCACTGTCATAATGTATTTTAGCCCATTTGGAACATGGCTGAATGAAACTGAATGTAGAAAAGTGCAGAAAAAACAAAACAAAATAACATATTTTCTGAATGTATTCCATCAGGAAGAAATTAGATTAGATTAGATGAGCTTTATTGATCTCACAGCGGAGAAATTCACTCGTCACATATTGGCATAGAAGTTAAAGAAGGTGCAAACAAGGAGGAAAAAGGTGCATTAAGAATAAACAATATATATACAGTATATCTAGGTATATACAGTATATCAAGATAAATAAGGATTAAGGTGCAAGTGTACATGTATCGCACACAATGAAAAACAAAATAAAAATAAGAAATAAAAAATAAAAATATGTACAATCCGGATGGCTTATTTACAGGTGGATTTACTTTAAAGTTAAGGTGTAGTAGGTAAGGAACAACGGTGAGGTAGTGGTATGACTATTCTAATAGGCTTAATCATATTTGGTGGACCTACTGATACAAATAAAAACAAAAATATGCCTTGGAAAGGACACATTTAAAACATTCACCCTAAACTCAAAGAGAATGAAAGATTATAGCTTAATTTTACTTACGGTTGTGGTTTTGCCATCTTTTTTCTCCACCACTGGGAAGGAGACATGACACAACATCAGGTTTTACTCATTACTGACCTGAACAACACTTAAAATCAAATTCAAAATTATATAGCAAGCCATACAGAACTGATTAAATTGACTTTGGATTAGATGTTAATTAAAACAACTCAAAAAAGCTGTTTTAAACAAATTATCCTTTGTTTCAAAGTCAGTTGTTTATTTCTTTAGATAAAATAAAAGTCAGCTTTATCTTTTACATACGTTCATTGATTAATGTTAAAGATCAGCTTGAAAAATGAAGCAAAATAAAACACTTGTAATTAATTTCAGAAACTTTGACTATTTAGATTGATTACACATAGAGTGAAGTATTTTAAGCCTTTGCTTGTGCAGTGGAAGGAAAAATTGATGACAAGCTATATGGAGATGACGACTGCATTTTCCAAACAGGATGTGCATAGCTGCCCACACTGCCTAAAGTACCAGGAGCTGGCCTCGTTGGACAGGGTGGTAGTGTGCTTGACTGGACAGCAAACTGTGTAATCTTAACCCAATACAAAAAAAAACAATGGATACTTTCAAGAGGAAGATGAGAAACCAGAACCACAGACTGATCCACACCGTGTCATGCCGCATAGATATTATAACTCATGCAAAATTAAGTCCAACTAAGTGCTGTGCAAGGAGGAATGTGCATACTTTTCAAAAGCCTGACATTTCTGTTCCAAACATCTTGTTTTATTTAAGCCATTGTAATAATCACCTCAATTTGGGTTTTTGGAAAGTTTTCCTGTATGAGTTTTCCGTTCTAAAATGAACTCATAAAAATGTACTGTTCATCTCACCCTTAGTATGGATTTAGTTTACAGATAAACTTAGTCAGCTGCCTGCATTTTTAATGTCTACAAGGAAGTAATTTCCCTCTGGGATTATTAAAGTATTTCTGATTCTGATTCTGAAGCTGTTCATGTCTGATTTATCTGCAGTAAAAGCATTTATGGAATGTAGTCATGTTTAATTAATGTTTTTGTATATATTCTAAGATGCAGGTAATTTATAATAGCTTGATAAACTATTGGAAGGCATGATGTAAAAAAAAAAAAAAAAAAAAAAGGTTTTTTTTACAGCTTTCACTAAAATATCTTAACATTAATATCATGATATCTCATCTACATATACACAGTTAAAGTCAGTTAGCGGTGAATACTTCTATATAATCATAGCGTGTAATACATATCTTTTATATTGTCTCGGGAATAAAAAAGAAAGAAAATACACACATGCAGTACAGGGAGACTTATGCTAACACCAACGGGTGGCTAAAACATCCCCGTTCTGACCCAGCCTCACCTTGACGAATCCCTCTGGTCTGGACGGCTATAGCAGATATCTGAGGAACATTAACCCTCGGTAGTGGACTCACGCTGGACATTATAAGACCATGTTTTAAGCCTACAAACGAGGTCCAAATAGACCTTAGCAAGCTGCGGGCCGCCATGTTTAACTCTTGACCTTCCTCCCTCTTGCGTTTCACGTTAGAATCTCGCGATACTAAACCAGTGACGCTCCTGGTGAAACGTCATTATTACAGCCTTGATGGAAAAACTCTCATCATCTATGGAAACTAAAATGGAATATACATTACAATTAAAAAATTGTTGATAAATGTAAGAAAGTCTTAAATATTTTGAGCTGCTTGGCTGGCAGTGACTAGGGAGCAGATAGACAATCACTAAAACAGATTTACACAGGTATGATAAACTCTAACATAGACTTTGGTTGTATAGTTTACAGTTCTGCAGCTAAAACAGATCTGGGTAAATTAGACATTATCCAACATCAGGCATTAAGATCATGTACTGAGCATTTAAAACCACATCAACAGCAGCATGGGCGGTTCTAGACAGGGGCAGACAGGGGCCAGTGCCCCTGTAGATCATGTCCTGGCCCCTGTTATGGCCCCTGTACCGAAGACATAATACTTAAAAGAAATTCTAATGATGCTATGCGCTGGAACAGACTTGGTTATTGATAGGTCCTTTGGATCTATTTCATTGTTTTTCTTTACAAATTCTGTTTTACTACTTATATAAAAACAATAAGGTGATAGCTTCAGTGGTATTGAGATAGGATCCCAGTTTTCAACTGCTAAATGTTTTTTTTTTCATAATAAAAACATAGAAAGGAGGAAAGAGTGATAACAAGGTTGAGATTTGGGCATGCAAGACTTTATTATACACTTTTCAAATGTCAAAAGCATACTACTGGCAAATGTCATTACTGTGGAAAATATGAAACAATAGAGCATGTTATACTGGAATGTCATAAATATGAAAGCGAGAGAAGATATATGAGGAGAGAGTTTGAATGTATTAAGGAAAAGATTCATTTATTAGATATTTTGAGGAAGAATTTGGGGAGTTAACATATACAAATAATTATTTGATTTTTAAAGAAAACTAAAGAATTTGATTATAGAGAGGGTGAATGTGTGTAGGATATAGATGGGTAGAATACCAAGCTATGTAAAAGTATGTAGTTTCTTTTTTTTTTTCCTTAGAAATTATATATGTTTATAAGTAGATAGT